CCTGAGAGCCCCGTGCCTCCTGCTCGCAGCCCCTCGCCGCCCCCCAAGGTGGTGGATGTGCCAAGCCATGCCAGCCAGTCAGCCAGGTGAGGGGCAGCTGTGGGGGGTTCTCTGTAGGCTGGGGTGTGATATAAGGGGCAGGGAAGAGGAAATCACCACAAGCCTGAGGTGCAGCTGCTCCCTTTTTGGCTTTTCCATGATACTTTTCGCTTTCTCTCAGTGTCTTCCCCACAGTACCTATCCCTGTCCCCATCCCTTCTCTCCAGCCCCTTCAGCACTGACAGGCTTCACGTCTCACCCCCAGATTCAACAAACACCTGGACCGCGGCTTCAACTCCTGCTCCCGCACTGACCTGTACTTCGTGCCCCTTGATGGCTCCAAGCTGGCCAAGAAAAGGGCAGACTTGGTGGAGAAAGTGCGGCGAGAGGCTGAGCAGAAGGCGCGTGAAGAGAAGGAGCGGGAACGGGAACGGGAGCGGGAGAAGGAGCGAGAGCGGGAGAAGGAACGAGAGCTGGAGAGGAGTGTGGTAGGTCTGGGGGTCTCACAGCTGCAGCACAGCCAGGATGGATGGCTCTAGGGCCCCCTCGGCCACTCCCTGCTGGGACCCTGAAGCTGGTCTCTTTGCTCTTTTGCAGAAGATGGCCCAGGAGGGCCGTCCAGTCGAGTGCTCGTCCCTTGGGCCAGTTCCCCACCGCCCCTCCTTCGAGCAGGGCAGTGCTGTAGCCACTGTTCCCCCATACCTGGGCCCTGACACCCCAGCTCTGCGCACCTTGAGTGAATACGCACGGCCCCATGTCATGTCCCCCAGCAACCGCAACCACCCCTTCTACGTGCCGCTGGGGGCAGTCGACCCAGGCTTGCTGGGGTACAACGTGCCAGCCATCTACAGCAGCGATCCAGCGACGCGGGAGCGGGAGCTGAGGGAACGGGAAGCCCGCGAACGAGACCTGAGGGACCGGGACCTGCGTGAACGTCTCAAGCCCGGCTTTGAAGTCAAACCAGCTGAGTTGGAGCAGCTCCATGCTGTGCCGGCTGCTGCCATGGATCCGTTCCCACGCCATGGCGGGCTGAGTCTGCAAACAGCCCCTGGCCTTCATCCCGCTTTTCCCTTCCACCCAGGGCTGGGCCACTTGGAGCGGGAGAGGCTGGCGCTGGCAGCTGGCCCCACTCTTCGTCCCGACATGTCCTATGCTGAGCGCTTGGCGGCTGAACGCCAGCACGCCGAGCGAGTGGCTGCTCTCAGCAATGACCCTCTGGCCCGGCTGCAGATGCTCAATGTGACACCTCATCATCATCAGCATTCCCACATCCACTCCCACCTCCATCTCCACCAGCAGGATGCCATACACGCAGGTAAGGACCCTGTGGTGGTGGTGCCCTGCACAAAGCCCTGCTCTCTAGTCTAATGTGTCCTCCTTACGCTCCCTCCCTCTGGCACTGGGGAAGCCCAAAAGCTGCTGACACTAGACTTTAAGGTCACAGATCTTCAGCCAGAAGAGCCCAACATCATGGTTGTTATTCCTTGCCCTCACTCCCATCCCACCAACTGTTTAGTGGCAAGCAGAATTGTTTGCACCATGTCCTTTCATTCTGGATCTCTGAGGACACAGTATAAGTGCTGGGATCCATCCCACTGGCTGCCAGGCTGCTATTGCTGGGGACTTCATCCCTCACATTGGGCTCTGCAGAGGGAATGGAAGCCCTGCTAGAACAGTTTTGACAGTGTCCTTAGGACTAATGAAATGTTGGTTATCAGGTTTGCTGCTATAGCTCTTGCTGCAGGTAATGGGATGGGATGGGATGGGATGGGATGGGATGGGATAGGATGGGAGAAGGAACTGGAGGCTGCTGTTCTTCAGAATTGAGTGGTGGTCCCTTCCATTTCCATGTCCTACAGGAAAACAAAGTAAAAAGTTAAGGGATGAAAATCTCAGGGAAGTAAAGCCCAAGCTACAGTACAATAAGAAAATAGTGTTGTGCCTGCTCGGGTGCTGTGAGCAGTCAGTGCCACAGCTGCTCAGAGGTGGCACCAGGTACAAATGAATGTCCATTCCCCTGTTCTCCATAGCTGGGCATCTCTAGCTAGCACTCTGGCAGTGAGTCCAGACCACTGGAAAGAGCATCTGTCCTGGATGAGACCGGTAAACGGAAGCATCCAAGTACGCACATGAATGACTGCCAGGGTGGCAGATAAGCATGATACAGGGTGCAGAGCTGATTGCAGAGCAGGTCCTTGCAGAATTGACTTTTAAGGAGCAGTACTTCTCCCTGAGGAGTGTGGGAACAGAGCTCTGCCAGACTGGTTCATGTGAAACTCAATGCAAGCAAAAAGAGTAACACTCAGAAGGACATGGTATTGTATTGTCTAGCTGTGAAGTGATTCCATCCCTAACATACTCCAGCCTTCTCTCCGTGTCTGTTTTGTGAGGCCTTGCACCTTTCTTCATGTTAGCTTTTACAAAGCATGGGACAATTATCTTGTGTTATCTTTTGTTCCCAGCCTCAGCCTCTGTTCACCCTCTTATTGACCCACTTGCCTCGGGATCACACCTCACCCGGATACCATACCCAGCTGGAACCATCCCCAACCCTCTCCTGCCTCACCCTCTTCATGAGAATGAAGTGCTTCGCCACCAGCTTTTTGGTAAGGATGCTCACAGGTTCTGCTGGTCTCCTCCTGAGAGATCAACAGAGCTCTGACAGGCAGGGGCGTCAGGAGGGGTCACAGGACCAAACGGGTCTGTCAAACAGAGCTTCGGCATGGTGTAGGACAGGACCACTCTATCAGGGGGTGGGCAGGTCCTCCATGTGGGCAGGGCAGGGAATGGGAGTGCAGCAGAGTCTTGACTGAGCTGTGGGGCCATGGATGGAGCTGTTTCATCAACTTGTTTCTTCTCTGTTTCGGGTGCAGCTGCACCCTACAGGGACCTGCCGGGCTCTCTCTCCGCGCCCATGTCAGCAGCACACCAGCTGCAGGCCATGCACGCGCAGTCGGCTGAGCTGCAGCGCCTGGCCCTGGAGCAGCAGCAGTGGCTTCACGCCCATCACCCCCTGCACGGCGTGCCACTCCCAACGCAGGAGGATTACTACAGGTGCGTGGGCCTGCTCTCACCTCACACATACGCCTCCAGGCCCAGCCTGGGGCTGGTGGAGGTGGTGGGCACGAGGAAGCGTTGCCCCTGAGATGAGTGACTGCCTGAGCCCTCACCTGGGAGCAGGGATGCCTTGCCTTGCCGTGGGGAACAGCTGTGGGCTGGCCACAGGAAGGTCATTCTTGGCAACTGGCTATTCACTTGCCAGGCTCCTCACCTCTGAAAGGGGAAAGAACTTTACATGTTTCACACATGCTAAATGCAGTTATGACTAACCAATAGCCCTGCCAAAATACAAAACATTTGCAAGGGCTTGATGCTTTTGCCAAGACGAGGCTTTCACATGTATGTGGGGAGGCACACTGGGAAGGAAAGAGGTGCAGTGTTGTACCTTCAATAGCATCTCCTACTTCAAGGATTTGCCAAACTTTGCAAGCCAGCAGTGTCATGTGGGTCTAGACTAACAGAGGCAGGGGGACGTAATAAATTCTTTTCCCCTTTCACAATCACCTCATTCCTCTTCTTTATCCTAGCCACCTGAAGAAGGAAAGTGACAAACCCCTTTAAATGGACTTCTGCTGTCAACATGACATCATCATGTCTTTCTCTTAAGAGGAACAATCAATCAACCGAATCCTGATGAAGGGGAAGCTGCAAAGTGACACATCCTGATCCCACCATGCAGTAAGAGTACAAGAGAAGACAGACAAAAAGTACAGGGTGGCATCCTGGGAACAGAAAGTGGAGGAGAGAAAATGGGGAGGGACTGAAACACCACTAACGGACATGAAACAATCGGTACGTGATTTCAGCTGAGCTCTGAAGAAAAGAGAATCAGCACTGCACAGAGCTCAGAAAGACAAAGACTGACATGAATTCAGGGTGGCAGCAGCTCCATCCTTTATTTTGGGGTAACACTTGCATTAAATAAAAAGTGCAGAGCATTGCAGGACTTCATGTACAGGATGGTGCTGCCTTTTCTACTTCCGTGAGGAGGAGGTGCAGCCAAGAAGTAACTCCAAACCCAACAGAGCCTTTTTTCAAGATGCCTCCTCAACACCCCACCCCCCTTTAAGTGTAAGATACTGCTTAGCGATACAGAAGAGCAACGTGGAACTTTTTCAGATTAGCCAGAGCAGCTTCCCATTCTCCGACATCCCTTCAGATGCAAACAAAGTGTTACAGGACCCCTTTCTAAGTGGCCACTCCTGCCTACGGAGGGTCTGGGGTCTGGTCCCAGCCATCGGGGTGCAAAGCACCGCAAGACTGTTTGCTGGATAGTGGCTGTGCTTTCCTGTGGCTGATGGGAATGGGCACGGCCACGAGGTGCAAAGCACCAGGAGACTGTTTTCAAGACTGCGATCACCACTGCGACCCCTCTGAGCCCCACGGGGAGAGATGATGTGGCTGAGCAGTGACACTGAGTCCTGGGACTGTAAGAGGGTGGCTGCCCCTTTCCCCTCACCCATCCTAATTGATGTACTTTAACTCATGCACATCCTATTAGACGTGGCAGTTTTATGTAGCAACTTGTGACTCCCTTGCCCCTGCGTGCGTGTTCTGATTTCACAGTTGTATCTCTCGATTGGTCCCCCATATATATATATATATATTTACTTAACCATTAAAAGGAAAAACAACCAACAACACAGCTATGGAAAAAAAAAA